AAAGAAAAGGAGGGTGGCTGCACCTACTGTGTAAAATTTGAAAAAAAAAAGAGAAAAAGTGAGGATTGCTGTGACTTACTTGGGGTCGATGAGGCAGTACTTGCCGGTGACGTTGGTGATCTCGATAGTGATATTTCTTCGGCTGGTCTGGTTGGCAGCCAGGGCTTCTGCTGATTCGCTCATGGTGATGCTGATGCGGTGAAGGTCGATGTGAACTCAAGATCTGTGGAGAAGTTTAGAAGAAGAATCCATCAGCAGCACTGAAGAATAGGCGTCAGTAAACCTTCAAACTCAGCTTACCTGTCCGGATCACGGCTGTGTTGCTCGCTGGTGCACTGTCAGACCTGAAGTGCTGCTCTTTAGAGGCGCCTGATGGGATCTGTGAGCCACCCAAAGGTGTCTCCACCCACAGGGCGCACCTGAACCCCGTCACACCCAAAACGCTCCACCTCAGGTATGAGCGAGGAGGCGTCAAGACAGAAGCTGCAGCCAACAAAAACTAAACAACTGTACTTGTTTTTGTTCTCGCACCGAGACGAGCAGGTTTGTTGAGCTTCCAGCGACCTTGTGTCGGTTTCCTCATGGGCCACACCTTTCGTCTCAGAGTTTTGCTTTTGCTGTCTGCATGTTGAGACAAACAGGCGTTTCTCTAAGTTTTTGCTATAAGTATAATTCATGAACATTTTCACGTGCGTCTGCACACAAACCATTGCAATCATGCGTTCAAATGAAGCAAAGAAACAATCAGAGGCAAGAAATGGATTGAACTGTTTTTTATTCATTGAAAGCACCGATACAGTGGAAGGATGACAGAGTGCTTTTAGGAATATCTGCATCGACAGGTTTCATCTTCTCAGCGTTACGAACACATTCATCAGCCCATCCTGTCGTACAGCTCCATCTTGATGATGGCCTTGCCCTCGTTGGACATGCAGGCCCTCAGGTCCACCTCCCTCGCTCTGAACAACACCCCGCAGCCGTTGGCCTCCTGGCGAACAAAGTTGGTCTGATCCTTGCTATTGTACATTTCTTTGTACAGCTTTTCGTCGGTGTCCACTGAGGACTCGTAGGCGCCGATCGCCATCCAGTTCTTGTAGAAGTTGTAGTCAAACGGCACAGAGAACATGATTGCCATCATCTCGGTACCTTGGCGGCTGCGCATGTCGAACAGCTGGTAGGTCAGGACGCCCACAGCGCCCGATGCCGTGTGGTCGTCTTTGACAAAAGAGCAAACCTCGGTTTTGCCAGTTCGCACAGTGGGCTGCGGGGGGTTGAAGACGAAGCCACTCTCCATGTAAACCCTGAAAGATATGAAGGTGGAGGAAGTCATGAGGGGTTTGCTTATGGGAACGAACCAGTACTATAATGGACCTAAACTACAACCACCTCACTGCACCTAAAGCATCAACGTAAAAGTAGACAACAAAAAACAACAGTGACGAGACAGAATTTTAAAAAAACATGAAAGACTCAAAACAACTGAAAGGAGACCAAAAAACACCAAAAATAAACAAAAAACAGCTAAGAAGACACACAAAAACCAGTTAAAAAAGCCAGAAAGAGACTCAAAATGACCAAAAAGAGACACAAAAAAGAGACTCAAAACAACCAATAGGAAAAAAATTAATTTTAAAAAAACAACAAAAATGATAAAGGAATAGAAAAAAGAAGTACTTTAACAAGACACAAAATAAAATAAAAAAAGATGCATAACAGACGAAAACCCGTGAATCTGTGGCTTTACGTTGCAGGATGGGCGGGGCCTTCGCTCCACTCATCCAGGGTCTGAACTACTTGTTGTTCTGCTGGGGTTCAGTTTATTGACCCAAAGTGTTAAAAATGCAGATCTTGGAGTTTATTTTTGATCTAATTTCACCTCGAGCTGAATAACCAGTTGTGTGTTTGAGGAAAAGGCCTCGTGTTCGTCAGCGATCCTTACCTTGGGCGGGCGAGACAGTAGTTGGTGGTGACATTGGTGAGCTCGATGGTGCAGTTGCGGTTGGTGGTCAGAGTGTGGGAGTGGGATTCTGCAGTCTCAGGCATGGTGTCGGCTGGAAGCGACTGTCAGAGGTGACGAGAAACGACGTGGAAAACATCATTAGATGAATATTTAAAGGCGCAAACACTGTTTTGATGGGTTGAGTTGCATCAACTTGACGTCACGTTGGAGTTGAAGCAAACATTTTTTGCATGAACTAATTTGAAACTAAATTCAAGTTGATGTAACTTAATAAAATTTACTTTTTAAACAAAGTTTTATTCACCTTAAGGTCAGCAAATTATTATTTTTTTAATTCGCCAACTTCAAAAATGTTTGTTCATGATTACAATAATTAAATTTATAACTTTGAAAAGAAAAAAAACTCCTATTAAATGTCATCAAGTAGTAATTTAAAATACACTGTAAAAATATTGTTTAAAAAAAAGGTGCAATACTGTAATGCTGAAAACTGTAACACAAACGGTGACAATAACAGCAAATATCTGTTAAAAAATACATATTTAGCTGATTTAAATACAGTAAAACCTCAATTTTATGATCACACAATGTCAAAGAATAACCTAGTATTTGTAAAAATACAGATTCCCCCCTTAACATGTTAACAACTATTGTAAAAACACAGACTTTCATGTTTTCTTTGTTTTTTTGTTTTTGCTAATTTAATAGATAAATCTGTAAAATAACAATTGGACATAATTTACCATTTGTTGTTCTTAATATACACAATTTGTCTTTTAAAAATTCCGGTGTCTGTAAAACAACGATATTTCATTTAAATACAGAAAAAAACGTGCAACCATTTATAAAAATTCATGTTTTTCATTACTTCCTGTTTGTTTGTTTTTTTTTTGTTTTTTTTTTAAGGGTAAAGTGTAAATTCGGACTTTTACGAGCTATTGCGTGTAATTTAATATTATTTGGGGAAATATGTAAACAGTAAAGTTTTTAAGTGACGGTTAAATGCTGTTCTTTTTTTTTTTTTTTACAGTGTATGTTTGATTGTGGAGGAAAAACTAATTTATCTGCTTCAGTGTGGTTTGCTGGTTGAACACAATTTCACTAGAAGTCCTCACAACTCATAAAGTTCGATGCTAGCTGTTGCTTTAATTTGCTCCGTAATCAGTGCGTAGATTCAGAATCTGACATGAAGACGAAGCATCGAGCATCCAGAACTTCAACACATTTAATCTGGACTCACATAAAGAGCCACAATTAACACACTGACATCCTCCAACATTCAACAAAAACACAAATTCTGCATGAATATGTGAAAACAGGAGCACTTACTTTGCTTTCTGTTGCTCACTCGGGAAGGCAGAAGGTCCTTTGAGAACAGGTCGGCGTTCAGTTTGGAGACCAAGGTGAAGCCCCGCCCTCCCGGTCACACCTGAACCACAGGTGGGTGTTTCTCACTGCTGACAGACAAACAGGGTGTGATTGTCTCAGACTGGAGCCCAAGAATGAAAGATGACAACATTAAAGTAGGACAGTTGGTCCTATAGGTATCAGGAGAGAAATCCTAAACATTAATTTGAGGAGCCACACCCGACATGATTGATGGAAGATGAAGAACAAACCGTCCGGACCGGTTCTTCTGACAGAACACAGTCGATGATAAATCAGCTGATGGTGCTGCAACAGCGTCCTCAACACTAACTGATGCTACACACCCTAATTTAAGTTTCGCAAGCAAGAAGTCTTCAGCTTGTTGCAGCATGTCTGCTGTAGTTAGTGGAGAGTTTCCAGTCCAACAGGCCAACTCACTGGTTCTGACCGTCTGTAGATCGTCTACGGCTTCAAGGGTCGATGCAAAATGTCAGCAAATTACAAAAATATGAGTCAAAAAATGACTGCAAAAATAAGGAGACTAACAAACTGAACAAAAAAGAGGCACAAAGCAACTGGAAGGAGAGAAATATGAATCCTGCATGACACAAAATAAGCAGCAAAATGACCACAAATAAATATTAGAACCCTGCAGAGACACACAATGACCACAAAGACCACAAAATGATGCGATTATAGACTTGTTTCTTCATCATAGTCCACAGGTTCTTGATGGGTTTAAGTCAGGATTTTGGGGAGACCAGTCCAAAACCTTCATTCCAGCCTGACGGAACCATTTCTTTACCACGTTTGAAATGTGTTTGGGCTCATTGTCTGGTTAGAACATCCAACTGTGTCCAAGATCAACCTTCTGGTGGTAATTTTAAGTTTGAACGTGGAGGTGATCCTCCTTCTGCATGATTACATTTCATATGAAGCACCAGAACAGCCCCAGAGCATGATGCTGCCACCTCCATGCCTGATGGTAGGTTTGGTGTTCTTGGGGTTAAAGGCCTCACCTTCTCTCCTCCAGACATGTTTCTGCTCAGTGTTTGTTCCATGTGAGCACAGAACTTTCCTCCAGAAGGCCTTTTCTTTGTCCATGTGATCAGACTTTAAGGTTCTGCTTCTGGAGGTAGAACTTCCTTCTTCATCAGCCTCTCAGCTCATGTTGATGTCAGACCCTGTGGACACAGCTGTGTTCCAGCAGCTTCTGATTCGTTCAGAGCTGCTTTTTGGTCTTTCTTGGTTGACTCTTGACCGTCCTGACCAGTCGTCCCTCAGCAGCAGGTGATAGTTTGGGTTTTGCCACAGCTGTACCATGAACGTCATACTGAGATACGATGGTTTGTACAGAAGAACTTGGGATCTGTAGCTGCTTTGAAATGGCTCCAAGTGACTTTCCTGACTTGTTACGATCAATGATTTGCTTTTCCAGATGGTTGCTAAGCTTGTCAGACTTCCCCACTGCAGTGTTTGTGACTGAGTCCAATGAGTGGGCTCTGTTCACATTGGCTCAGAGGAGTCAGCAGCTGTAGTGAACTGTAAATACCCATTAAGAGGCCATGTCACTTACAAACTTTAAAACCACTTTCTACATCACCCAAACTGATCATTCAAGTTGCTGTATGTATATTTTTTAACCCAGAAGACTCGTCATACTTCAAGAAGAACTCTGATAAATCTATGAAAGAAGCAAAAGGCCTGATTGTGTTTTTGTGACAAAGACCTACATGGAAACTTTTGTACGCAGACGACACTCTGTTCTCAGTAAGTTCTGTCGTTTCTTATTCCGCCAACCAAAGTCCGTTTGCATCAAGACAACGCAGAAAAAACAACCCAAAGAGACACAAAATGATCAAATACACTATCCAGGTGGCACAAAAAAACCAAAACAGACACGAAACTACGACTAAAAAACAGAAAACAGCCACAAAGACGCCGAAAATGACCACAAACAGACAAATATGTAATGAAGAAGGATGACTACAAAAAAGTCCTAAACAAGCTTCACCTGTTTAATGTGTAAAATGTGACTCACTGATATAATTATCAGCGTTTATGAAACACCATTTTATTTGAAGCTAACAATGCTTTTTTTTTAAACTTCTATTTCCTCCTCCACCTCTTCATTCACAGATTTTCCCATGACTCCGCTCACTGAGTCACGCTGATGTCCGACATTCAGGATTTAAGAAGAACACCGTGCTTCCCACCACCCTGTTGACTCAGCCCGAAAAAACAGAGTCGAGCTTAAGTCCAGTCGCAGTTTTCAGGTGAGAATGATTAACATTGACGCCTTGACGAATGATGCAGCTTCCCACACCTTCACCGGTTCACTGGTTTGTTAGCTTATGTAAGAAACCACTCAATTTATATTGTTGATCAATGTACACAAAGGATTACAGCATTAAGTCGCTGTCTGGTCGTCTGCTGTCGCTGCTCTACTTTTGAATTAACCACTCCGACGCCACCTTGTGGTCAAATCAAGGCAGCCGTGAACGGGAGTGAAATGTCCAGCTCTGCAGCATTCACGTCTCTCTGTGCATTGTTTCATACATCTTCATGTACTCCTTTATACGAAAGAGAGCTGGAAAATTGTACATAAGATAAACGTACTGTCACTTTTTGAACTTTTACAAAAAAAAAAATTAAAATTCCTAGATAAAAGTAAAATGAAGTCTGAGTAAATATTGCTGCCTTATTTAAAAATGGTTAAAGAGGAGAGTAAAGTGATTTTTTTGTGGTTATACTAGTGCCTTTATAGATTTATGGTAGCGTGACAAAGAGAGAGAAAAAATGTTGAAAAAAGCTCTATTAAATCTGGACTAAAATTCCCGACATGTGGGAGACTCTGAAGTCAAAAAGGATCTTTGGTCTGCTGAGACCAAAATTGAGCTTTTCTCCATCTGATGAGATG